CAGTCACTCTGGTCTTCCTCAGTAGACTGACCCAGTGTGACTGGTCGAAAGCTCTAGGTGAGAGAATTTTTTGTGTTGGACCAAAACTTTTAACTTTAAACATGTAACTACCAACACAGATGAACTTTCATGATAGTAATAGTTAACATGGCCTGGTAGTCAGTGTCATTTTCTCTGTCTGAAATAAACGTTTCCAAAAGTCATTCTATTGTATCAAAATTTCAAAACCGCTCGTTTTATTTCCATTGATACGCAATGGTGACAAGGTTTATATGCTTGGATTAGTCTAACCCTTGTTTTAACTATCAACACTACAGGTCATGATACTTTAACTTTAGCCTCTGTTCCAATAGTATGACTATTGCATTTAGCCCATGTTGGAAACAACATGCAATTAAGATCGTTCATTCATTCATTACGATATGTCAATTGTATTTTTATCTGTGGACATTATCACTTTTGTCCACCTCGATTTCTATACAACAGACGGTTCCATATTACTGTTTTGAATATTGTCTTGAAAAACCTAACCCTGTCCCTGGATTATAACATTATAAGCAAAAACATTGAACTAGAATTCACATTAAAGGCACTATACAAACAAAGTGATCGACTAATATTTTTCCGTTATGACCAGGACAGGGTCTGTGTGTCACAGTTGATATATTGCTATGAAAAAGTTATCTTTCTTATGCGCTTTGATCATCCTGTATTAAACAAACCCATTTCAAATTATATTTTTAACATCACAAAGAAACGAGAAGAAGCCGAACCTCTGTATTAGTGTAGTTTAAGAGCTGTTTGTATTACAAACATGTATATTACCCATTTCATCTGTTCACCTGTACTTAGCCCGATAGGGCATGAATGTACAATAAAGTTTATTAACACTTTTGCATATTTCTTGTTGTTTCTTGAAACAGGTTGTTTCTGTAAGGACCAGGTGTATCTAGAAGGCGCCCTGGAGATCCTGAGGTACAGAAAAGACATCGACTTCCACAAGTTGATGCGCATGGGTAAAGTGTCCTGGCAGGACATGGGGAGACTGCAGGAACACATGCAGGCTGACGGCACCAGGATACCCAGCTTCATGG